TAGAAACTTGTGGGATAATGCCTGTCCACTAATGTAAACAGCACACGTGGTCAAAAGATTTTCCGTACGTGCTAAACTTTGACGGTTTCTTTGTGACGTCTACAATTTACTCTTTATCCTTCTTTCCTGGGTTTTTATAAAAATGTGAATAAGGTGGTCATAAGTTTTAACCGTGTAAGATTTACAAACAAAAGGTGAAATTATAAAAATAGTAATATAAATAGAATGAACTCAAATTTATGGTGAAATAAAACTTTTTTCAACAAAGATACACCTATATTTACTCCAAGCATACATCCTGAGAGCACACAATTCCTTTTGTCCTCTTTCTTTGGTAACAGCAGAAACAGTTTTGACTGAGTAGTTTTTACCTATACCTTCGTACCGTGAGACATTTGCACCGGTTTAAACTAAATTGCTAAGAAACGGTGACGAAAATAATGGCAATTAATTTGAATTAATGATGCGAATTTTGTTGTAGTTTCGAATTCATTTCGTAGCCGTGTCAGGCAGTGTTATTTGTTGTTACTGTCATTTCGCATTGAATTAATTTAGCTTCAAGTATCTTTTTCAGCGGATAAACCTTCAAAAGTTCAAGAATAAGAAATCCTCTTTGTCTGGTGGATGTGAATAAAAAAAGCTTCCCACAATACACCAGCTTTAATTACCCAACACAACGGATTAAAATGCCACGTATGGTTTCGCGTAAGCTTGGCGCAAAACGTGAAGAATGGGGAAAATTTTTCGAATTTCTGAAGGAGTCCGCTGTAACTATTGTACTGAAGAAAATTTGAACGCTTTTTCCAGTATCAATAATTTGCTTCGAAATTCAATCATGCGATCTCTTTTTTTTATTATTATTCCCATAGTCATCGAATCCTGTTTTCTCATTTGTTGAAAACGCCACGTTTGTACTCATGACTCGAGAGCGAGCTAGTTCATCGTGCGTTTGTGCCACGTGTCCGCCTGCCGTCAGCAAACTTACTCGACAACGTGTTAACTGTGGCGTGAAATTGAGAAAATAAGGAACTGTTGAATAAATAACCATATCCCCTTCTTATTGCATGAACTTTCATTGTGTCTCAGCCGGTCCAGCGCGGGTGGCCTGCATCACTAATGAGACCTATTTGCATGACAAGAGGAAAATAGAAAATTTTGATTTGAGTTTGTTAATTCTCGACATTCGATCGTCTTGTGGGAAATTATCAAAGCAACTCAGACGAGGAAGGAATTACATCAGCGCTCTCTGTGAACCTCACTATAGTTAGGTAAAATCCTTGATTTCTTTTTTTTTCTTCTCATCGTTCAGAGATATTTGAATTAGTCGCTTATATTATAGCAAAAGAATCGGAATTAATTACTCTAGCAATTCCAATATGAACTTGGCCTTAATAAGTTATGGTTTAGTGGCGTTTCACTCACAAGATTAAGATCGGCTTTTTTCCATTCACCTCTTTTACGCCGATTTTTGCTGAAGTAAATAACTCTTACATCTTTACGGCGTTATTGCGAAACGTTTGCCTTGTAATATTTGGAAGCTCCGTTCATTCAATAACCACGATTCAAGGTGGTTGAAATTGGAGATATTTGCAGAAGAATTAAACTCTGAATTTTCTTTATAACTTCCATCCGGTCTATTCGGAGATCGATTTTCATTTCTGGCTCCAAAAAATTAGGATGTAAGCCTTATAAATGTTGAGATCAGGAGAAAAAAGTTGTGTTTAACTATTATTTACATCTTAAGGCTCCACGCGTGAAGGCTTTAAATAGTCTCGCTCTTTTTTTTTATCTAGTGTAGTTCACAAAGCAATAAGTATTTAAGGGATAGAATAAGAAGAAATTCTTCTTAAAAATCCCTTTCAAAATAAATGGTCCTCCATTTAAAGTGGCGATTAAAGCGGCGCTTGTAACTTCATGCAAAAACTTTGAGTGCTGAGCGAGAAAATTAATTATTGCATTATGTGCTTGCTGTTTGTGGTGGACCGGAGATGACACGAACCCTGGGTCGTCCGGCGGAACGTTTTACCTTCTAAGAAATGTAAATTTGCGAATATGTTTCTTGCTTTGTAAACTGGGCTTTTTATGATGGGCAGCTGTTTAAACAGGAACAGGCAGAAACCCTGCAGTTCTACAAGATTAAACAGACTTGGAACACATTCGTAATTACATCACCCATTTAGCTTAGTCAGTAACAAAAAGGAAAATTCTCGAAATGCTAACCATAGAAATCCTGATGTAAGCAGAAAATTTACACCAGAAAATGCTGTTTGAATATCAAGGGAGATCTCATGGAACTTGTTTGATTTTTCAGCTAACAAAAAAAAATTGGCAAATGCGCATTTTAGTGAGTAAGCAATGTCAAATATCTCACAATTTTGCAACTTAGTTCTTTATAGTATCGCTTTCTTCAATTGAAAAGGAACTGTATTTCCATTCGGCTGAAAATACCTTTTTGTTCAGAATTTTGAATTTTTTCTTCTTCAATGTGTAAATAAAGCAAAGGTGCATTGTTTAGTCTCTGCTTATTGTACACGAGACATGTACACTTTTAAATCGTTGTGTTTTTTTTTTCGTGACATAATTACTTCATTTAAAGTTTTTCTCGTTTGCACTGTATAGGTCAAGGCTACAAATGCATTTTGAAAATAATCTCAGTTTAATCAGAGCGAAAGTTACTCTTGAATTATACTATACGACGATTTTTTCTGGTTCGTGGCAACACGTCGAAACTTGTAGTAACACAAACGTGTGCAGGGGATAGATTCTTCCTACATGACGACAGTTACTGAATTCCTGTTTACCGAGTACAGAAAAGCTGTCTGAAAAACTCCTCTCATTTTGTTCTAAAATTGCTTGCAATTTTTAATAAAAGCGCAGTATTGGAAAAAAGTGAGCAAGCTCGCTGGCAATAAACTTTTAAGTTTTAACAGCAAAGACGTCGCCCGTATTTTGACTAAAGTTAAGTGCACTAATCAGCCCTCTTCTTTGGACCAGTTGACGTTTTTTCCACGCAGATCTAAGTGCGCCATAGAAACATCCTCCAATAATGACCGATGCGCTGGACATTTGTTGTAATTTGTCTTCGACTGAAAAGATGAGGAAACAGCAAACCATACTCACGTGTAAAATGGTATTAAACGTGTTTTTGGTCAACATGTTCTCCACTTCTATTTTGATTTGCATACACCTCGTGAACGCCTCTCCAATGGACAGTCAGCTTTACAGTTCAGTGGGAAGAATTTGGTTGACCTAAAGAATTTTCGGTTTGTTACTTAAAAGGTCCAGATTCTGTTTTAAACGGGGTAAGGCGGACTTATTTCAGTCTGACGGGAAAAGATGTGTTTTGAAAAAATTGGGATTCGCTCATACAACCGTAGTAGCGGCAATATACCAACGCTCGAGGTTATTTTCACGTCCTGATTGCATAGCAACTTGTCCACTTTTTCAGCCAAAACGTACTAATTAGTCGTCAAAGGGGAAAACTCGCACTGAATTTTGCGATAGAAAATGAATACGGGAGGAGATGCAGGAGTGACTGCGTTGTAAAGGTAGGATTTGCCTTTCCCCTACTGATTGTGGATGAGTAGACCATCCGCACTCTAACTGCCTAAAGACTTGCTTCATCCTCTATATGCATATTTCTAGGCGACAGCTCATCGTCGATAATGTTGGTTTTTTATGCAAGTTAAAGGTTCTACCTGCTATGTGTTAAAAACAATGCAACATATCTTCAAATTAGAATTACCAAAACAGTTGTGATGAAGGAAGTGCCAGCTTCATAACAACTTCTATTTAGTCGTATCCGTCATAGATGAAAAACTCATTAAGGGTAAACGTTATTGTACTTGTATCACACTTAAAATCAGTATGATTAAGTACCTTTCATTTCTTGAACATGAATGCAGCATTTTTATGGATCGCCACGAAATGCCATAATTTCAACTGAAATAATCATGCTTTGCTTGCATTTGTGACCCGGCGACAGATGGTGAGTTTTCGTGCGATATTTAATGGTTTTGATACGACAATGCTTCCATTAACGATATTAGTATCTATTACAAAGTAACTGTTTTCTGTAATAAATAATCCAACGGCAATTTTAGGGTGTTTAAATTTATAGTTTATTCTTCAACTTGTTCTTAAACTCCTATTTGCGTCATCCATCATTGTCCTGATCATTCTTGTGTCAGTTTTTACGTCGGTAGAAAATGTCTGTGAAATTAAAACAAAATTATTTATTCACTTCAATTTGTAGTTTCTGACTGCTACGTGACGAAGACGAGGCAATGGAGGCGTTTAACCAAGCTTATGACGAATTTACAGGTGTTCATTCTCTCAAGGTGAGTTGCATAGGTTAGATTTTCAGGCGCAGAAAGCTTAAAGTTTATGCAAATCATAGAGGGATTTTTATTTAATGGTACTGATACGCCAAAGAAAAAATAACAAAAAAAAAAAAAACAACAAAAAAAACACGACTTATTAATCAATTCATAGACATCCGTCCAAGTCTTCACAGCCGTATGTTATACCGCGCTGCTTCGTCTAAGTCGAGAAGTACATCTTTTAAAAATTCAGTTTGGTTTTGTTTTGTTTTATTTTTTTTTGTATCGATGCTGCAAACGGAAATGGGTTTTATCCAAAAAAAAATTAATAACAAAATATTTCTGATCGCGTTTGGCTTATTTTCTTTTATGATTCTGTTTTTCTAGTTGTTATATAATAATGAATCAAACGCACAAAGTTCGACAATTTGCTAGTGCATTCAAATATCTTCATTATGGCCGCATTGAGTTCTGTAAAAATAGGCCGTTGAAGATACTGAGTTGGCGGTTATAGGTAAGTATAGGTGTGTTTACTACAGCTTATGATTAGGAAACAAATTTCAGATTCACATGTAAATAAGGAAGAAACCAAAAATCGATTTCCAGGAGAAAATTGGCAACAGAACAAACCGATTTAAGGCACTGTGAATACAAAGGTCTGTGAAACGTTCACTTTTGCTAGAAGGAAATTTTTTTCTTCTCTTTGACGAAATAAAGGTAAAAAGGTTGTCTCCTCGAGCGCGTAAAGGTTGGGTTGCTAATGAGGAGAGGTTGAAATAACAAAATATGGCTCTTGTTGGACAAAAGAGGAGGTTCGAGCGTTCGTTTTCATGCTCAGTCAGCAGAGCGCTGCTCTGAGTCCTTACTGAATATGTATGGTAGAGTCAGGGATGAAAATTCACACCGATCACACCTAATTAAACATGCGTCACATTCTATACTTTACTTGTTCTGATATTTGCAATTGTTAAGCAAAGCTTCGCTGTCGTTTACTTTTAAATCTTTAAGAGGAATTAGGTTGCAGATTTCAAATACATTTACCTCAGGTCTTGAAAGCGATGGGGCCAGAGAAAACAAAATTCCAAAGGAAAAGAGCTTGTCGAAGAGCTGTGAAGGAGATTCGTTCGGTTCAAGTATGAGTTGTAAAAATATATACAAAAAAATGTCAAAAATCCATGGTTATTTGATTTGGGTTTGTCTCATGATTATCTGGTCTTGGAATCAAACATTGTTTCATGATATCATTCGAAATCATTTCAGTTCTACGATGTGGCCAGATCCTTTTACGATGTACTGTGAATAGGTGGTTTGCACGTTACGTCATTGCCGCCATGTAGATATCTCAGTAGCTTCTCTTGTTCGTCCACCAACATTTGTTCCTTTCATCTTTGTTAACTGTGTCTCTAGAGATTGGTTGCAAACCACCTATAGGGATGTTAGCAAAAAGGTCTGGCATTCAGTGAATTTTAAAGTGTCATTGTAAGCGGGTTTTTAGTGAGAACGAGTTTTATTATGAGCTAGTCTAGTCTGGTTGGGTTCGTTTTAAGAGGATTTCATTTCATCAAGTTCAGTTCTTTCTTATTCATTTTTGTTGTACTTTGGTCCATGAGAAATAATATATATTTTTTTTCATAACAAAAGGTTTCGTCACGTTTGATATTCTCTTTCCGTCCATTAGAATGCAAATTCATCGAAAGGCTGTCACGCATTCAGCTTGAAAAGCTCTTCAAAGGACCGTACACAAGATAGAAAACTTCTTTTCAAGATCTCTTCGCTGCTGGAAAAGGTAGGAACGTTTTCTTACTAAATTTTCATTATTGTTCATGTCGTAAGAATAATTTTTTAAAACGTAATCACAAACAGTATATATATAACGTAAACGTTAGCTTTGTTACTGAGGTTGCTAACCACGTCCGAAGTGACTTGAGCGTGAGATGCAGAATTCTCAGGTTCAAAGTCTTGTGCGACCGTCAGCAGTGCATTGCTCTTCAAGGGAGAAAAAAATAGGACCCCCTAATCTAAGTGTACACCTTAAGCCTTTTCTTTTCTTCTCAGAAAGAAATAGAAGTCGCATCTTACCCAGAAGATCTCTTTGAGGAACAAGAGCAATCAGACAGCAGCGATATTGACGTCAGTGGAGAACAAGGTTATTCACTCAATGACGACGATTGCGATCAGGTAAGGACGACAAAATATGAAATAAAAATTACTCAGCTGCTGCTGTCTTCATTCCTATTTCTATTTTCTTTGGAGTGACGTGAACCATAGAACGGAATATTGATTTATGGTATGAAATATTGATAAATTTTTTTTTATTTATTTATCGATCTAAATTGCGAAGGACGTCATTTTCGCTAAGAGTGGCTGCGATGATAAAGTAAAACTCACAGACGAGGAAAAGGAAACTTTCGTCTCAGAAGGACTTCCAGTACCAAGCAGGATACCACTGACTAAGGTATATCTAAAGTTCATTCATTAAAATGGCTCCTACACTCTCAGCTGGAGACTGGATAATAGAAAGAGATCATAAACTGTTTTTCAATCTCTTGTTGCGTCCTTTGCTAGCCGGTGCCGCGGTCTTACTAACCGTCAGAAAGTATTTTTTGTTGGTCAGCGCTCAGAACGAAATGATTACTAAAAGGTGGCAACATATTATTTCTAGGTAGAAGAAAGAGCCCTAAAAAGGATTCGGCGTAAGATTAAAAACAAGGTAAGGAATTATCATTGCTTCCCGTATTATACGTAGCAGTTTTTTGACAGTATATCCTAAATGTATTCTATACCTCATGTAGTCCTTATGCATCGAACACCTGTGCCAATTCTTGCAGATCTACAACTTAATTGACACAATAATAACTTAAGTAAGGTTGTAAAAATAGGAAAAACTAAAATTCAAGACGCTTTGTTATACTATTTTTTGTTCTTTTCCAAGCTTTCTGCACAAGAAAGCCGACGAAAGAAAAAGGAGTATGTCGAAGGTTTGGAAAAAAGGTAAGTCGCAAATTTAACAAATAAAATCGTTAAAAAAATTATCAGCAAAGTAACTAGGACCCTTAACTTCTTAGCACTTCAATTAAAAAGCATTTGGTGACACCTATGGGGATGGGTATGGATATGATGTTCAAGAACCATGCACGCAATGTGACCATTGCTTATAAAACTTAAAATTGGAATTATTGCCGCAAATATAATTAGGAAGTGTTACACACTAAGGGCTCGCTTCATTTTACTTCATTTTTTAGATATATATATATATTCGAGTGTAAAACCTAGTTTAACCTTTTTTTAGCCTGCTTTCGTCTTTTTTTTTTACCCTTACACTGGCTGATTGTTTATATAAGTGTCACAGAATTGCTCTGAGAATGTTATAGAAAAGCAATTTGATCCCACTCTTTTCCAGGGTGGAAACGTGCAATTCAGAAAACAGCATACTTCGACAAAAAGTGGACTCACTTGAATCGACAGTAAGGTAACGTGACAGAAGCCTTCCAGCCACCATACAATTAAGTTAGATCAGGATTAAAGCTGAATAATTTTTTATTTAGACAGAGAGAACACAAAGTGGTTATCAGGTTATAACGAACCGGAAAGAAATTTAAATCATCAATTGAGAATGGAGAACAAAAACAAGGATATATTAGTTAAGAACGCACGAAGCGCATGCGTGTGACCTTGCTTTAACTGGCACAAGTTCATTTAGAAAGATAATTATCCCTTTTTTTTTTATTTGCCTGATATCTATTAATGTATCTGTTGAAAAGACTGAAAATTTTAACCACCGAGCCAAGTCTCCATCTAGAAACAAGAAAACAAGAGGAATTTTACGTTCGTAATCTAATGTCCTTAATGGAAGCAAGTGTTTTCACTCTTAAAGGTCGGCACAAAATGTACTTTATTTTCATACAGTGTAATGTAGACTATTGTTTTATTCACGGTTATTTAAGCTTGGCCTGAAAAACTATTTCTGATTAATTGATTTAAATTGTTCGTTTGTCTTCGTTTCCGCCATTGTTGTTCAGAACTTTGCATTTATCAGTTTTTTACTTCATAAGGATTATATGGTATCAGAATGCTTGCTTGTTTTCCAATATCTTGCAACCGAAACGTACAAGATAAAACGTTATGTGAGAGTCCCTTCCAAAAAATCTTAGTTTACTTTTTGATGAGTTTTATCTTCACCAAAAGACCATCTGTCTGGTATCTTGTTTACACCAGAAGTAAACACCTGAAAGTCGAGAACCGTTTGGTGACAAGCTTTTGGTTAAAAAAAATAAAAGTAAATTTAAATTCTGGAATTTTTAGAGCGTTGCTGACAGAGCTGAATAGATTACGTAAAGTTTCTCTGGAGAAAGAAAGAAGAGAAAGACCTGAAATGAGAAGCAAAGGAACTCAGACGGGGACGTGCTTAAAATGGTAAGAGCCCCCACAAAGCTTCACTGGAGTAAATCAGTGATACCTCCATATTCCTCTCAGTTTCAAACTGAAGCTATATGCTTCCCCATTGTGTTGATGTATCGGTCTAAACGATCGGTTTAAATGCTAGATTTTTTGTAGGAATCGTTAGGACTGGTACTCAGTTTTAACAATTCTGATACCTAGCAACTCCCGCAGTTCCTCTCTATTATCAGGAACATTAAAAAGAATGGTATAGGGTTGTAGCAACGAAAAAAACAAAGCGTCAATAATTATCAAGCTACAACCAACTTCATCCTTCCAAAGGTTACTAGATACCTTTCTAATACAGATCACTTTTACCTACTTTTCCAAACGTAAGTGTTCGCCCTCTTTCCTGATAAAATGTGAGTCCACTGATAAATTATCTAAATGTATAGTTTGACAAATTTTTGTTTTCTTTTTGCTTTCACTTTTTTACCGACTCAGTCTCAAGAAAAGAAACGCCGTTTACAAACAGCAAAACCTGGCAAGACTGGAACATCTCCGAAAAAATAACAACTTCTGCACACCTCAGCCTTACAGCTTGCACAAGCTTGAAACACAAAGTTGAACCGAGGAGATGACAATTGGCTTCCAAGCAGTTCCTGTCCTACAGAGCAAGGCCGATTGTAATAGTTCTCGTGTGATGTATTTGTATGATGGTGCTGGAAACAAGTTCAGTTATATAGAAACAACGGGATGTAGATGGAATACTTTTATCGAACGTTGAGAAAGAAGTCATCTTTTAGAATTATTGATATATTGGCCATTTAAAATCAATTAATTGCATGTAAAATATGGGGATACTATGTAAAAAATACCTTGACTTTGCAATACCTTTATATAATTCCGCCCTGGGAATTCAGCTCCTATATCAATAGGGTAAATGTTTTTAAACTACTTATACTGACAGATCAGAAATCCATACGAAATTTTTGTAAAAAATCTTGAAAATCGGGTAGACTTCGAAGATGCAGTGTGTCACGTATGTCATGTGAAATGGCTGTAAATAGTTTTTGACTGGAATTTTTTTTCTAGAGGAGTAAATAGCATGTATTTAGGATACAAGTGCAGTTATTACAAGGAGGTTAAAAGAACAAAAGTCTAATGTAGAAAAGTAATCCAGTCGTTTAAAAAGAAGCAGGCGACGTGCTAGAATTTCCCTGTAAACCCCTTTGGAAAGAGGAAACTTCAGTCCTTGGTGCAACACTGATATGAGCCAAGAACTAGGTGATTTCTATGAAGGTCAAATTTTATGCAACGTCTACGTTATTCCTGTTACATCTGAAACATTAACACTCCGGATTATAAGATAAGGAGAAGCAAGCCGTAAACAGTTGAAACCTTTTTAATTTTGTGCTCTGTTCCGTTGCGCTCCGTCGACCAAAAATTTTAAGGCTATCGATCAGTAACTACTGAAAAGCCTCACTAAATAGAATAAACGAAGAGTCGAAGGTAAGCTACCTGAGACAGTCTAAGAATAGTCAGTTCTTCTCTGAAATGGCAACAATGAATTGTTCTCGCTCGATTGGTCAATTTAATTGGCCAGTGAGGTCTAAATCAGGTTTGAAACTCGACTTGCTCTGCCAGGCTCTCCTTAGAAACAGAGATTTGAAATAATATAATACAGTGAAGTGGGTCCTCAGCAGACATCTTTCCATTACCGATCTTCCCTTAACACCTTCATTCAGTCTAGTCTACGCCATGAGAACTTAAGCACGGAAAACAACGCCTGTTCCTCGTTCTTACTTGAAGATTTTGGATTGACCGGTTTGGGTTGTTGAAAGTTTCTCAAACTGGACTGGAACGTTCATTCCAAAAACATCATTTACATTTCGTTTTCTATAATCCTTCGTTGATATTTACCTCCCAAAATCCCATCTGATTTTTTGTCGTTACGTTCACAGCATATGTTTTGAGGTAGAAAGGCCGACGTGACAGCCGGAAATCATGGGTATTTCATATGATTATTAGCTACTGCTTGACGAGCATCAGTTCCAAATGTTGCGCACGAGTTTAACATATTTCCTGTGGACAAAAACATACATCTTTATCCTAATTATTATCTATTATCAGCCTTATCCTTGATGCTGTGAAAAGTTTTGCTAATTCCGATCTCAAAGTTACTAAAGTTTATGATCCACCCTATCTTCTTACGTTGGTATGCCTGTGACTTTGGTAGACCAAGGTGATCAACACCATAAATGGTCAGCAGTAGTTCCCCATTGCGTGTTTTGCTTTCGCAGGGTTCGAAGTTTTCCAGCATCGCACCGACCTTAGTTTATTCGATTGTGTAATGGAAGAAATGGAGGTGCAGAATGTCCAAAGTCCGATAATCATTGACGATGGTAAGGTGTATCGTGGTCATTCTGCGAGTTTTTGCTCATCATTGTGGAAAGTCAAACCTCGGTAGATAGGAAACAGAAGTTCCTTGACCAAATATTATCGATTAGGCAATTCTCAATTTTAACTGTTCTTTTGCAACAGTGACGATTTGACTCTAAGAACGCTATCTTGAAAGCATTTAAGTTAAAACTCGACTTCAAAAAACCTCAAATGCAACCTGGTAGCCCCTTCTATAATAATGGTTTCCTAAAGGTCTTGTAATGTATTTAATTACATGTTCAACTACAAATCGAAACTCATGCGAACGGGTTATTCTATATGATTCTTTCGATTCCTTTCGCATGCCAGGGTCGCTATCTTTTTGCTGATTGTTAGCCCAGTTTCTCATTTTATTTAATTTTAAAGGCGTTTATGATTCACTTTGCATTAGATTGGAGTTCGAGGCTGAAACTTGAGCGGAATATTGATTGTTTTAATTTTAATTGTTCAACATTGTTTAGATAAATCAGAACATGCAATTAACCAGGCAGCTGTGTTTGTAGAAGATGCAGCACAGGTAATAAGGCCATCTTTATTTTTTCTTTGGTTATTGTCAATGTGCTTCCTAATTTTGGTTTGGCCATTTGGAGTTGAATTAAAAGAATTGAAGCAGTCCAGATGGAAGAGGCCTGGAGCAACAGTACATTACTAGAAAGGAGAGGCTAGGTATATTTAGTGCTTCACTTCTCCATGTCCTCCACCTCTTTCTGTATGCAATGCTCTTTAGGTGAAGGAAGACATGATTCTTGTAGTGCTCAAGTAATAAAACAACAATTCTCCCCCCCCCCAAAAAAAGGAAGAAAAATCACTAGTGGGGATATTCCATCAAATATCATGCCTTTGTGCTGGTTTATTTTTGAGAGAAGTGGGGAACATCTGTCTGTAGTCTAAGAAGGTGAGATTTAGGTTAAATAGGGGTGAGCATCAGTCGCTACATGGTTTAGAATTAAGTCCTTTACTGTAAAAAAAGTAGAAATTTGCACTGTTAACTATGAAAGAGCAGCTCTATCATCACTGATGGTGTCAAGGTCTTTCAGATTCCTCCATTTAAGCTGCTCATCTTAAACAGTGGTTATTAACAGACTGTAGTTATTGACTGACCGGAAGGGGCAGATAAGAATTATTTACTTTTGGTGATGACCTGGATACCAAGCACAGAGATGTGCATACTTGAAGACTGAGAAAAGTATTTATTTGTATTGGGCTTCTTGCTGGGAAGGGCACTTAAGCAGGGAGTGTTTCATGATTGTTTTAATAGCACTCATACAGCTGTATGTACATGCAAATCCAAATGTGCTTCTTCTGCAGTACAGATCAATTAACCATAAAGTTGACAGCAAGTCACTGTGGATGTACAGGTGGTACTACAGCAAACCTGTAAGATGGTAAGCAGAATATTCCCAGAGAATGTAGATAAAAGTTACAAATTTTACAATACAATGAAATTTTTTATTGCTATTCATAAGTAAATACTTGTTAAAAACAATATTTTAACATATAGCAAGGGGGCCTCTAGAAACCATGGCAACCATGGGGCTTATACAAGAGAGGCCTCCTTACGAGAAACAAAAGTATATGTATGTGTAGGTGATATGTGTTCAGTGGTAATTAACACTTCTTTTGCCAAACCACCAATCTTAATAGTAATTGTGTCATTGATTTAGTGAAAATTGACTTTGAAGATGTCTTTTAAAGAAGCAAAAGTTTCAAAATGCCCAATATCACTGGGTGAGGAATTTAAAAGTTTTGGTCCTTGAAAAAATATTGAAGTTTGGTTTGACATTGATGAGACTGGTAATCATTTCCTCTTCTAGTGCTGTATGAGTGCGTGAGGTATATGGTGACAAATAGATTAAGAAATGATGGCGGAAGTACATGTAGGCAATAATGATAGGAAAACATAAACTACTACAGGTAACACTTTATATACCGTAAAAGCCGCACCCGCAGATAAGCCGCACCCGCAGATAAGCCGCACCCTGAATTTAGCAGCCCAAATTTTGGAAAAAAAGTTTTTTGAAATAAATCAAAAGAAATCCAAAGTCAAGTCTTGAGAAGTCTTCTTCATTCACTGTTCATCTAACGTAAACTCAATATTAACATTGCAACGGAAAATACTTCAAAGTCTTACCCACACTCCGCTTAGCACTTTAATATAATGAACATTGTTTCTACCAACTTTGACATATGATTGGTCTTTTTCTGGTATTTGTCGACAGGAATTTCTTCATTCAACGCAGTTTTTCCATACATTTTTGTATTACAACAAGAACATGACCAGAACATTTGAAGTTTAGTAACCAGGCATTAGATTGGACGCGAAAATGGAAATTGGTGTTGACATTCACGACGCCTTTTTTGAATGTTCCCGCAGATAAGCCACACCCCCAATTTCTAGCGACTGGATTTTTGGAAAAAAAGTGCGGCTTATATGCGGGCTTTTAAGGTATATACAGTTGAACAGAGTGTTGCCTTATGATGTTGGCATAAGTATATCCATTTTTTATCACTCTTGGCATCTGAGGTGCTACTGATATCCTTGAAACTTTGATACTTGGAACCTAGTTTGTACCTGTTCACCCCACCTACACTCAGTTCACTGTTGATGAGCAGGGGTTTACATTTTCCCAAAAATGGCTTATTTTTTTCCTGGCTAATGAGTAATGGTGGGCAGACAGACTTTTTTCACTTTTGAATTTATTTGATTTAACCAAATTTAAAAGTAAGGTTTTTTATAAGGGCATAAACATTTGGGCAATACTTTGCCAATTTTTGTGTTGTAACTTGGCAATAATAGTGATTTTACAGTTTTGCTGTTAGTGTTGCTGTGCCAATTTTTTTTTTCAGGTTTTTACAAATCCAGCAAACTGTTTTGATTTATTTAAAATGAATTCATCTTCTGATGAAATTTTAAAGTTAGGTGTACTCACAGCCCAAGACTTTTGCTTGTACAGATACATGTATTTTGGAGTGATGTGATGTGCAAGCTTTCTGTTATTAAGAATTAAAATGATTTTAACTGTGATACAGGGGACACACCTTTATCATCTTCCTTTACTTGATGCTGGCATTTGTTGAAAAGCCTTCATCTTTAACGTAAGTATTTTTGCCTGTTTTATTTGTTTCTGATAATGTGCTAACATACTTCACATTGCATTCTTTGGAACAAATTTTAAAAGTGAACACTCTCCCATTAGCAAGTTAGACTCACAGAATTTTGCAAGGTATTTGTGTTACATATTTCTTAGTTGATGTTGAAAAAATTGATCCAGTCAGATTGTGTTGTAAATACTATCTGCAACCAAAGAGATTTTCAGTTTTGTTATCTCAGCATTACTGTACAAGCAGATGTTATTGAGAAAGATGTTACTTAATAGAGAGAGCACCAAATTCTTGTTCTAAGTAATTGCTGAACATACATCCCCCTGTTGATAATTTTTCTATGTGCTGTGCTTTAATTTTGTTTGTGGTTCAAATTTTACTTCCCTGTGTTTCCGTTCTGTGTTCTTTCATTTAACTGTATCCAAAAACAGCTCTAGGAAATTTAAAGTCAAGCCAGGAATGAAAATTAATAAAATTGAGTAAGAGGTCATATAATTATGCAATATGGTGGTCATGCACCAACAATTAGTTGCCTATAGATAAATATGATTGTTTAATGTTGATTGTAACTGGTGGCAATCTTTAATTGTTAAATTTCAAGACTCTCGTCAGATCCTCGCTTTCGTGGTAAGAGACCTGACCCTCCTTGTGGAGTCACAGAGAGCTTGGAAATCATATTTCTTCTTTGTTTTGTCTTTGACTTGGTTGTCAAGGTAAGTTTGTGTGGTGTATTTGTAGAGACTGGGCAGTATTTGTTCCAGTCTCCCCCGACGTTTGTTGATCTGGTTGTGAAGCGATGCCATGCGCTCGTGAGTTGAAGTAGAATTAAACCTTTTCCTTCGCAAAGTAGAGTAGGGTCTTTCTTGGGATTTAATTTTTTAATTTGGTTTTCATTTGATTATTCTTTGCCTTTTATGTAAACAATTTTGAGTTTGATTGTGTGTCTGTTTTTACTTGCAAATTTGTTTATTATTGATCTTTTTACTTTATGTCTTTTGGTGATGCGAGTTTTTAAATTTTATGTAATTTTACTGATAAGATGCATGACCCTCAGGCTTATAGCTTTAAGATCATTTTGTTCAAATATTTTAGGTCAGGTGATATCTGATAGCGATTGAAACCAAGAAAGTTGATGGAAATTTGATCCAAATTTAAAGACGAAATATCAACAACTAAACATCTATAAAAGTTTTTAGCTGTCCAAAGCATTGAACATCATATATTTGAACATTCTCAAGATCCTACATAAAGATCCTCAAAAATGTGTAGATTGCATTTCCCACAACGTGCTTGAATGTTTGGTAATTCTAAATTAATTATTTGACAAGTGAATTTAAGATAGTGTTGTGTAGATCTAAACTGTTTACTTGAATTTATTCTAAGTTCTGATGTACTTCCTATGTTTAGGGTCATGTGCTGGGAAGACGGCAAGTCATCAGGAACAAATGGCTCTTGTCATATAGTGTGGTTCTTATAATCTCCTTCATAGATGTTTTCATCTCACTCAGTTCAGGGTGTAATCTGGTGAGTTTTTTATGAGAGATTGTATAGAAGTTTTTATATCATAACCAAAGTAAAGCGCGCGCTCTGATTGGTCAATTCAGCGTCCCCCATTTGCCCATGGGTGTACGCTGCTGACGTGAGCAAATGCAAAGACTAGTTTTCTGCGCGCTTGTTTTTTCTGGTCACGTAAGATTTGTTAAATAAAAGGAAACTCTTGCTACAATGTATCAATGTTATGTTATAAAACAAATGGTAAACGCCACAGTGTACACTATTGAGTTATGG